TCAATTTGCATGACCCATTGTAGGCAAACAACATTTGGAGGCAGCTCTTCTGGCTATCATGTTCTAGTAGGTCCAACTGGGGTTGACCCATTGCTGCTTACTCTTCCCCTGTATTACTCCACTTTGAAGGTTTTCCCTGTGTTGCCACTTTACCACTAAGTAGCTCCTGCCCCATAGCATTACCAGTGATGTGCTTCCTTTTAGATCTCATTGATAGCCATTTTATTCTCTCACATGAAAAGAACCAGCATAGCTTTGCTATAGCTGGCATGCAGTGGCATTATATTACAAAAAGAAAAACATTCAAGTAGTAGCTACAGGTGTCAATGGAAGTTGAGATACCACTTAGATTACTAGAAAGTGCCCAGACACCATCATTTAAAGCCAGGGAGAGAAGTAGGTTCAATGCATGATGAATGTTGCATACCCACTCTGGACTAATGCTGGCATTTTAACTTGTTCATATTCTTATTATTCAAAAGAATAGCAACTATCACATTGGCAAAGGGATGCCTTCACACTTCAACTTCTTTAGGATAGCCTTGCAAGGAAGTGGTCAATATTTATGGGTGTATGGCTAAAGCTGTCTGTAAGACAGATGTTGAAAAGGAATTGCTTTATCAACCACTCTTCCTTTTTGTTTACTAAAAATAAGTCCCAATGAATTCAATTGAACTTGCTCCTCAAAAACCTCAGTGACCCTAATTATATCTAAGCTACGATTTACATGAGGTTACTTTTTCAATGTAATATAGCTACAGTTATCTTTTGGAAAATCCCATTCACTAGTATCTGTTAGATACTTTATTTTACTTCAACTGAAATTTGTTTTTTAAAAAAATCAACATCTTTTGAGATTGCATATTTTATCTATTTCTGCTATGCTGGAAAGAATAAAACTTTTGTGATGTAAATTTACCAATCCAATGCTTGTTGTGATATTAAATCTTTTTAAATGAATAATTACATTGTTTTTAAAATATTCAGGCAAAGCGTTTGAGTTTGAAAATTGCTGAGCAGGAATCTGAGAACAAAGGTTTAATGGATGAATATATGGAAGAGGTGAAAGTTATGGAAAGTACAGTAAGTTTCAAAATAATTGAAAATGATAAAAAGAAAAAAATTAAAGCATATCCAGCTGTGTTTGTATGTCATATGTAACAGTATTCTCACAATATTATCTATATGCCATAGAAAACCAGCAAAGACTCTGATATAGAAGACTTGAAAAGAAAGCTCAGGCGTTATCTTCAGCAAATAAAATCTTTGGAAGATGAAAGCAAACGTATTTATAATGATAATGGAGAATTTCTTCAAAAATTCAGAGACAGGTAAGTACACCTATACTTGTAATTTATCAGCTTTTTTATTCCGTTCAAATCAATTAAAATGGGCTGTTTTGTGTTTATAGTGTATCTTTTATTTTAACTCAAACCACGAGGATGGGCATCCCAATACACTGAGTCTTTGGAAATGCCCTACTGACTAGGGCTGGGTAACCACGGAAAATTTTGTTTCTAAACTCGATTCGTTTCCAGGGGGCGCTAGCATTTCCAAATTCTAAATACTTCCGAAATTTTGAGATTTCAAAATTTCGTTATTTACGAAATTTCGTTAATTTCGAATCGATTCATTAATGGCTGATGCGATTGCGCAATATGCTAAAAAAAACCCCTCCAAATGGGACAGGGGGAACTTCTGAAGCTTCCCTCTCCCTCTGTTGTTGACTTTTGGTGTGATAATTTATTTTTTATCACTGATAAAACAAACAACAACTATAAAGCTTGCACCAGACATACAAAAATAATTTCGAAACAATTTCGAAACAATTTCGAAACAATATCGAAACAATTACGAAATAAATTGAAAAAAATTGTTTTGATTTTTAATTACTCCTGCATGGCTCAATATCGGATCGTAAGCTAATTTAAATACGAATTAATAACAAATTATGAAATTAACGAACGAAACCGCCCAGCCCTACTACTGACTCAGTAGGGTTTAATTCCAAGTTTGAATGAGGTTTATCCCAAATATTAAAGGTAAATAGATTGAAGAATCAGAGTCTAGCAAAGTGTATTGAGGAAGGACTCTCTTAGCTTTGCAGAAGAGAAAAAAAATGTCATATTCTGCTTCCTCCCTTTCCCCTGAAAAAGACCAATGCTAAATGTATGTCATTTTAATAGTTTTACTGAAGTGAGTAACAGCAATAGTGTATCATTTTGAAACCTAGCCCTCATCATTAAAAATGAGCATCAGAGAGAACATCAGTTTGTAATGCAAAGTTATTAAAAGTCTTCACAGTTATTTCTTCTAAAAATTTGATACAACATTATACAACAGAACTGGTAAAATTCTTGAGATCTTTGGACTGCATACACCATGCTGGACCTCAGGGAGCCATATTTTCTCCAACAACTGCACACATTGTTTTGCTTTCTGCAGTAATTCCACCTTCAAAATCCAAAAATTAATGTGATCATGTGATCAAACTCATAAGGCTAACAAGCCAGTATTTAATTTTAAATGCACTTAATTTTAATCTAATTTAATGTTATTTATGTAACTACTGTATTTATTATGTTGTATGTGGAGCATTGAATTGTTGCCGGCTGTAAGCCGCTCTGAGTCCCCCTGAAGGGGTTGAAAAGGGTGGGGTACAAATGTTTGAAATAAGTAAATAAATAAATAAATAAATATGAACTTTGACATCACAGCTGATGAGAAAATGTAGATGCTTATGTATACTATGGGATGTAATGATAAATTATGACTGCTGTGACCCCTATCATTTATTTTTTTCTGAAAAAATGTAAAATAAATCACATGAAGCTAAAATTCATGTAATATTTGCTTTGTTTGTTTACCCATATACACAGAAATTTCTAAAGCTAATAGGCAGTTAATTTTGTTATGCTTTATCTTTACTGTTGTATCAAAATAAGATGCCTCTGAATCAAATGGTGGTTGCTCTGACAAAAAAGTGGAATTATAGAGTTTTTAATCTGTTTTTGGTTTGCTTTAACAGTTCAAGACGGAAAATAGCCTATCAAGCAGAAATACAAGTCCTACAGAAAAATATTCGTCGACTGGAAGAACACTTAAAAAAAGTGACTAAAGAATTTTATGCAACTGAGGTGGCTTTTGATGATGCTAAAGCAAAACTGGATGACTTATCTCAAAATATCGCTAAAGAAAGAACGCATTTTAAGGTAGACTGAAATCATACAATTATTATGATATATAATTATTTTTAGGTTCCAGAAGGACTGCTTAGAATGAAACGCAGGTTGAGCACCCTTTCCCAGAAATCACAAATTCTGAAATACTCCATAATTGGCTATATAGGTGGCTGAGATATTAACACACCTTTGTTCTCTGATGTTTCTGTGTATATAAACTTTGTTTTGTGTACAAAATTATTATTTTTAAATGTATAAAATTCCCTTCAAGTTATATGTACAAGGTGTATACGAAACAAATTATTTTTGCACTTAGATGTGGGCACCATCTCTGGAATATCTCATTATGTGTTTATATGTAAATTCAGTTTTTTTAAAAAAAAATCTGAAATTGAAAAAATATGTTCTCATGCATAATAATGGGTACTCAATTTGTATTTCTGTGAATATGTCTACTATAATCTTACCACATTATCTTAAATACTAAAAGCCTGATAAAGTTTGTATTTCCCTCTGCCTGAAACTGGGTACACATTCACACATAGCACACATACATTCAGGCTGGATCTACACTGCCATATAGTCCAGTTTCAGAATGAAGATTAAGTGCATTGAACTGGATTATATGAGTCTACACTGCCATATAATCTAGTTCAGTCCACTTAATCCACAACTGGAATATATGGCAGTGTAGATTCAGTCACAGAAAGCAAAAATGAATGAGAGCTGCTAACTTCTGTGCTGGCTAATGTAGCTGTTATGTGAAATCTGTGGTAGAAAATGTTTATTTCCATTCTGTAAAGAATTTCAATATTTTATTCCTACAGATCCTGCTAAAGGCACAGGAAGACAAGCCCTTTTTTTGTGACCAATTTTAAACTTTAGTATGGACTGTTGCCTTGCAAAAAACTGTAAACATGTGAAACCTCTAGTTCCTTTCTCCCTGGAGTGCCAATGTAAACACATATTTTTTTAAAGTCTTCATCTATAATTTGGTGAAGAGGTTTGATGTGGACTTTCAGAGAAAATAGATATGCAGTAGCTTATTTTCTGAAATTACAGTTAGGTCAGGAGTACTAGGGTTCCCAAGGAGGTCTAACTTGCTCCAGCCAAATGTACTTTCTTATAGAAAAGAAAAATATATTACTTCCTTTCACTGACAAAAAAAATACAAATAGAAGTGTTATGTGAAAAATTACAGGCAAGCAGGGGCATAAATAAGCAAGTATTATTTCATATAGGTATTGCTAGAACTTCCAATCATCGACTGAAGCTCAGTGCTGGGAAATTGTGAACAGATAAAATGCAATGCTTCTTCAGACTGTTAATCAACTGTGAATTAAGCCATTAAGGTATCATTAAATAGTTCTTGAAATAATGTATTTTTTTCCAATAAAGTCATCATAAAATCATATGTTGGAAGAAATCCCAAGGACCATCCAGTCCAACTCCCTGCCATGGTGGAATACAAAATTGCAGTGTTTCCAAAAGATGGCCATCCAATCTCCGATTTAAAACCTCCAAAGGAGGAGACTCCATCACATTCAGAGTCATCGTATTCCACTATCAAACCACTCATATTTTTAGTATAGTAGCTTTGTGCTGTTTGGTTTACTGAGTATATTTTGAAAAGGGCATCCTACTGTATACATATTCTACTGCCCCCTGATTTTCTTTTCTTGTATAGTTTCCCCCTTTTCCCTTTTTAATTTGTAGGACTTGCAAGAGAATGTAAACAGACAAATTAAAGATGAAGTAAGCGCTTGGAAGCTGACACAGGTAATGTAAAACAATACATTTAATTTAGCTTTAAAATATATTTTGCAGGTTCAAAATTTGTCATTACATGGTTTGGGAATTACGTTCACAAAATTTCACATGACCTTTTAGTGTTCCATCTTGAACAGTCTGTAATGTATAGAAAGCATTAAAATAACAAGACACATAGTTGTAACAGACAGGGTGCACAGAAGAAGTGTTAGGTGATGGTATGAGAGTTATACATAGGCCTCCTTCTGCTTTCAGCAATATGTTTCTGCTTATGTGCATGCACCAAACTGGGGGAAGGGAAGGAAAAGGGCATTATTAAACCCTATAGGGAGCCCTCTATGTATTGGCACAGTGCCCTCATGCCCTAATAGCTCCTAAGTTATAGGGAATTTCTGACATTCATTTTGCAGGTCATTAACCCAGCTCGGGGTTTTACAGGTCATTAACCCAGCTTCCAGCTAAGTTCATGAATGTTACTAGCCTCCAAAAAAAAAATTAGTAGTTTGCCTTCTGCTGCATGCAGCTTAAAAATTGCCTTTAAAAACTTCCTTCATTTAGAAATCTTCTAAGAAGCATGTTAAATAACATTTATTTTGAAGATTTTTTTTACATTAATATAGTTAAGAAACACAAAAGGGGTGAGAAAAGCGGTATATAAATACTGTAAATAAATAAATAATACAAAAAATATAGTCATCGTTACCGAATGTTGGTTTCTCTTCACAACTTCTAGTTGAATATAGAAACCATTGTCTTTGTGTGTGTCCAAACTGGCAAACTTGGGTATGTGTGCCAAGTTTGGCCCAGATTCATCATATGTGGGAGTCAGAGGGTTCTCTGAATGTGGGGTGAATTATAACTTCTAGCGTCCAGGGTCCATTTTTCTTAAACTCCTCCAGTATTTTCTGTTGGTCATGGAAGAGGTGGGGCAAGTTTGGTCGAGATTCATTGTCAGCAAGAGTTACAGGGCTCTCTGGATGTGGGAGCCATCTTGGAAATCATCCACCCACAAACATAGATGCATATATACATACAAACTTTAAATACTGGTGAGGTTTGGAGGGAATTGCCTTTGAATTTTGGGAGTTACAGTTAATCCACATTCTGAGAGCACTCTGAACCCAACTGATTATGCATCTGGACCAAACTTGGTACACATACAAACATGACCAACTTTAAGTATTGCTTTTGTATGTTGGGTGTTATAGTTCACCACATCCAGAGAGCACTGTGGACCCCATCAATGATGCACTTGGACCAAACTCGGCACATGTGCCCAGCATTACCAACTTTGAATATCGGCACAGTTAACCCATGATTTTGGGAATTGTAATTCACTCACATCCTTATGTATTATCTAATGGGACCATTCATGCAAAAAAAAAAAATGACTATTTCTTATAAACAGCATTACAAAAGAGCTAATCCAGGCATCACCAGGTATCTAAACTAGTTTACAATGAAACTGAATCAGGATTTGTAGGTGAATATCTATGCCATTTTATTATCTAGCTTCATGTAATTTGAGGGTTCTAATTTGCTATAGCATAGGCTCACACTTACTTCACTCCTTGGGCTCAGTCAATGACCATGTAGAAATATGTATGTGTATATGTGACTTCAAGTTGCCTGTTGACTTATGACAACCCCATGAATTTTATAAGGTTTGTTAGACAACTAATGCTTTGAGGTGGTTTTACCAGTTTCTTCCTCTGAAACACAGGTTATGGCACATAGCATGGTCCCTGTTAATGATTTGCCATTTCCTTACCTGACTAACCATTAACACTGTTACTATTTATACACAGCTGTCAGGCTGTTTTTTCTTAAGAATATTGCAAATTTTGTAATTGCAAGATGGTAAACAAGAAATAAAAGTTCACCTCATCCTTTCCCTTAAACTCTTTCTCAAGGCAAGGAGAAGGAGAGATAGAGTGGGTTACAAATAATAATAATAATAATAATCATCATCATCATCATCATCATCATCATCATAATTCTTCAAAGGAGGAAAGAGCTTTTTTTCAAATACAGCCACACTGTCAAGAATTCTCTGAGAGTAATGATAATTTACTGGGTCTTGCTCTGAACAGAAAGAATATGAGCAGTAAATGTTCTTGCAGAATCAATGCAGAAGATTTCTGGCTTCAAATTCTTGACTTAATAATAATTATTAACACTGAGCATTCCACTCAGTTTTACTATCAAACTTGGATGGGGTATTTCCAATGGTTGCTAAGCAAGAAATTAATTATAAGTCTATATAAACATTCTTTCAAATTACTCATGAAATCAATATATCTACCTTTTGTTTTCTTTTGCAAACTAAAGGAAAATGTTTTCATGAAGACTTCCATTCACATGTCTATTTACATTCATATTAAAGTATAACTGCATGGATGCAGTTGTAGTATTTCAATTATTCTTTGTTTTAATTTGCATTATTTGCTTCTACTGAGTCCTACAGTTGTTTGCCAACTTCTCTTCCAGAGTATAAAACAAAATACTTTATTTAACAGTTGCCCATTCCCATTTCTGAAAGGATGTTGCAGTGTTTGGGTCATAAAGAATCTAATAGCTACTTGTTGACCTTTCCTTCTATGAGAAAATCAAAATATATAGTATTCCCATTTGTTTTTTAATTGTAGTCAATAATGTATAGCAAGGAGTGAGCAGCTTTTTATAATGTAATAAATTACTTTATATACCTTATTAGATCCTGTTAACATTCCTTTAGTTGCATATTTTTTTTCTATAAGGTAGCATCCATTTTAAATAAATCTTCTGTCCTACCACCACTGTGAAATCTGTGTACTAAAAAAATAAATTCATGACAAATTAAATGTGTTGAAATTTTGAGGGTTTTTTTTGTCATGCTAGGAGCGACTTGAGAAACTGCAAGTTGCTTCTGGTGTGAGAGAATTGGCCGTCTGCAAGGACAGAGGTTTGCAGAGCCTACACAAATTTCCTCTCAGTAGCTTCTGGTTAGCAATCATCATTTTTAATCCATAAGGTATCCAAAAGCAACAAGAAGTTGGCATCAAGTAGACCATCCCAGGCGATTCAAAATGGAAAAAAGGTGTGGCTACCAACCAGATTTTAATCAGAGTTGCTAACATTGGAACTTTCCCTCTGAAAAACTGACCACTAAGTCATTCCATTATCTATTAACAAGGCTCTGAAATTGAAGTGGAGGAGATCATAGCTCAATCATTAGAAGCTCAAAATTTGGATAGTGCCTATGCATGAGATAATCTAAAAATTGCCTAGATGGCATTTCTAACCTATCCTGAAGTTTCTAAAGGATGAATGGAGTGTGAGGATTTCAGGACCTATCAATTGGCACTCAATTTCCATTCATGGGCAACATGTAGCGCTTGCTGAGAAAATAAAGGTTCCTGAATAAATTGAGACAGACATCATTCCATTAGTTCAGTGGTTTTCAACTGGTGGGTCCCCAGATATTTTGGCCTTCAACTTCCAGAAATCCTAACAGCTGGTAAACTGGCTGACATTTCTGGGAGTTGTAGGCCAAAACACCTGAGGACCCACAGGTTGAGAACCAATGTTTTAGATTTTTGTTGGATGGAGTCTGTCTATACTAGGAAGATGGGAGGAACATGGTGCATCTGACATTGTTGGCTCTCTTCATGACTTTTAAGCTAAGGGTGATTGTAAGTATAAATAACCAAGCAATCTTATGTTCACTCTGAAAATCAACTGAACCTCTGGAGAGTTTCTTTCAATACTCCTTAAGAGAGGATTCATTTTCCTCTCTTGCCTGCTGCATCATTTCAGTTTTCAAGCAGAGTATGATAGAAAGGGGGGAAATCCAGTACTGGATGCAGTTTCTTTAAAGACTAGAGAAAGATTGACTCTCTCTTCCTTTCTTTAGCCTTTTGCAGCATCAAATATACTTTATGCCAGAGATCAGTTTGAGTGAAATGGCAACATTCATGATCTCTGTAAAAAAAACAAACAACTTGGTATTTTCCTCTATAGATAATGGGGACACTCTTTGCACTACTTTGTCCTTCTCTACATTTCTTTACAGAATACTTTCATATATAGTTGGAGTAGCTTGTATTATATGCTCCAATAGCCATGATTCCTAAACATAGGATTAGTAAAACCAAAACATAGTGGAAATGTGCTAATATGTACATAGCCCTAGAATTGCAGTGATAGCCAACAAAGGCAGTTATCTCAGAGATGCACTTCCTGATAGAAGTAGGACAGATTGTGCAATATGGAGTTGTTGATTTCTTTTCTGTGTTGGAGGTCCTTCAGTGTATTTTATTTTTTATTATGAACAGAAACGGGTGAAAGCACTGCAGGCAGATCTAATGAAGAGGCAAAAGGATCATGCCAAATTACAAGAAAAAATCAAGAGGAAATTAGCAGAACTCAACAAGCTTGTGGCTGAACAAACTGAATTGCTAGCAAAAAATAAAGAAAAGCGCACATATCTTATGCAGGTAAGTTAAACTTTGGCAAAACCATGCTGCCTCTTCAAGCTTCATTGTACTGTGGTCAAACTTTGATGTGTATCATCAGTAAATAACGAGGTTAAATTGTCATTTGGAAGAAAATATATGAATATGAGTAATTTAAAATCAAATTCTTATTGAGATTTTGACTTAATAATTATTGTCATAATGTAAAATTAAATGCAAAATAACGATACTTTTCAGTGATAATGGTTTATGTGGAACACAAACCTTACACGACTAATAGTTTTTTCAAAATAGCACGATAATGGCAGTGATTAATGTAGTAAGCCCTTCCCCAAGGAAAAATAGTTTAAAAATGTGATAAAGACCACATCATTAGTCTTTTGGAAGCTGGGTGTGGCAGGGATTATGTATCTTTGTCCTTAAATGTACATTTATTTTGGCTGAAAATCTTTAAAAAGAAAGTTCATAGAAACACCCTCTTTCCAGTACTCAGGGAAACTGTTCATATTTCAATCAGAGTTGTTACTCTAATGCCTTTAGAGTAGAACTGTTATTCTTTCATATAGTGGCAACACAGTGAAAGTTCACAATGTGACAGAAACTCTGTTCTCTAAATATGAACTGTTTCATGATATAGCAACACTTTTATTGGAAAAAAGAGCTTTTAACATGCTACCAAAAGGACAACAATGAAGGAGTCATTGTAGCTTCCCTAGGGAAGAAGTGTCAAATGCAGCAGCAGATATAGAACAGGGCTCCTCTTATACACCCACCAACTGTACCTGTGAAGGCCATGGGATAAAGAAAAAGAAGTACCTCACCTATAGATCTTAAAACTTAACTGTGCAAATGCATTGGTGCACTAGCTCTTAATGTGCAAATGCATTCCTGATCATCACAGAAAACTGAGCCTCCAAGGTCAGAACTGTGATCACACCTATGCCTTCAGGTCAAGAGTAACCCCATCCAGCACAGGATGAATCCCTGTTCCCTGATCTGATATTCAGTTGGCCAGAATAATCTGTGTCTTGTCTCAATTGGGTTTCAATTTGTTCACTGTTGACAATTACTGATTTTGAAGAGAAACAGTATCTTTAAGATTGAAGTGGAAAGGAGAGATAGTGCTGGGTGTTATAAGCATAATTGTGACACTTGACCCTAAAACTCCAGATGACTTCTCTCAGTGGCTTTGTGTATATATTAAATATAAGAGAGGATAACACAAATCCCTGTGGGACTTCACAGGCCAATGGTCAAAGAATCCAACAGGAGTCCCCAAGCACCATCATCTGAATTCACCCTTTCAGGAAGGAAGGAAGCCACTGCAAAACATTGACTCTAGGTCCATTCCAACAAGATACACCAGAAGGATATCATGGTTGGTGATACTGAATGTTACTCAGAGATCTGCCAGAACCAATAGGGACATACTCTGCTGTTTAATTCCTGGTGAAGGTCATTCACCAAACCAACCCAAGCTGTCTCCAACCAAGACTGAAGCCAGATTGAAACAGATACAAAATATTGTTCTAATCCAGAAACTTCTGAAGATGGGAGGCCACAACATACTTCAAGACCCCATCCAAAAATGGGACCAGATGATAATTATCCCATATAATGGTATCCAGGGATAGTGATTTTATATATCTATCTATAGCTATATATGTGCAAAATAGTCATTATAGTGGGAGTCTTGGCAACCCATGTCATGAAAATGAAATACAAGCTTATATAAAGAAACTAAAATTCTGGCATTAACTTGTTGTGAAAATTAGACATAAATGAAGTGTCTGGATCTGAAGAACTTCTCAAATATTTCTCTGTATCTAAGTCATCTTTGGTTTCTCAAGCAATAATCCCCAATGGCATGTGACAGTTTGCTTTCAACACAAACAAAAATTTCCATCTCAGCTTTGTACCACATCGTAGAAGTTTTCATTTCACAAGGTTAAAAATCCCACTAGGTATAGCCATGTCTTTTAGATATATTTGTATCCTGGCAATTGATGACATTGGTGTTACCAGTATAGTGCATACTCCAGAAGAACTGAATTCACATCCCTGTGGATCTACTAGGTGGCCCTTGATAGTTTTTTTTTATCTTGGTTTCTGATGTCTAAAAGATAAACAATAACTCACAAGGATGTTAATGACATAAACTAGTGAAATGATCAGGAGGAAATCTATATATGAACATGATTCATGTTCACCTATTAATTTTTCCACATCAACACTAGTGGCAAAGCTGGGCACCTAAGGCTGCCAGTGCTCATTCTTGCAGCTTCCTCCTTCCTGCTGTCACCAACTATTTACCTACCTGTTCTGAATATGTGAGCAGTGGCAATAGTGAAGAGAATAAGCAGTCTTCTCCATAACCTTTCCCTTTCAACATTTATGCAGGGATGATAGAGGGAGGGGGGCATGTGATTGAGGAATGATGACAAAGAAGAGGAAAAGACATACCAAAAAAAAAGGGACCAGCCACAGAGAGAATATTCTGAAGGATTTCCAAGATGTTTCTGCTGATAGTGATTAAAGTTGGCATGAAGGTAATTTTGGAAAGCTTGCATTTTCTGAATAAGGATCACTAAAAGTTGCCTTTAAAAAGGTCTTGCCCAGCATTATATAGGTATATCCCCACTCCCATGCTCTCTCTCTCTCTCTCTCTCTCTCTCTCTCTCCAACAATTCTTAACCTGTGGGTCCCCAGATGTTTTGGCCTTCAACTCCCAGAAATCCTAACAGCTGGTAATCTGGCCAGGATTTCTGGGAATTGTAGGCCAAAACACCTGGGGGCCTACATGTTGTGAACCACTGCTCTAAAAGAATATGTTCCAAATGGATTTAAATCGAATGCCTTGGGTAAAAAATGTATTATTACTTCATGCAACATGAATGTAAACAGCATTTAATAGTAAATATATTTTTCATGAGTTGTTTTGGATTTCATCACCATCCTTTTATCTTTATCTGTTTCAGGAAATTGAAAATTTGAAACAGAAAATTCAAGAACTTGATGAAAAGGAGAAAATAATTAAAGAAGATTTAGATGCCCAGAAGAATTGTTTTCAAAAACTATTAAATGATATACAGGTGAATATGTTAAGGCTTGGTCTAGCAGGTTTCATTTGCATTCGTTTTGAAATGTTAGCTTGTTATTTTTACTCAGTTATTTTAAATGTATAAGGAGCATTCTATACATAGTCTTTTTTTGGTTTCTTGCTTCAAATAATCTGGCAGGTGCACCGGTAAAATACAAATGACATCTGGATTCTCAATAAGTCACACTGCGTCATTATGCTTTGGATTTTGGGGGGAAAGGGTTATGAAAATCAATACAAAATAGAAAAAGGGCTAGATCATAATAGAAATAGCCTGCTGATTGCACCTTTGCACAGCAGATGGCATCTTTTTGTAAATTATGGCATGTGTTTACCAAAGTAGTTACCAACCTGAATATGTTAGTAAAGGAATTGTTCTGTCTTTTGTTATTGAACATTACATTTGTATAAATGGGCTTGTAATTATAAGCCTTTGTCTTAAAGTATCTTATTTGCATTATTATTACTTGCCATTTGGTATTTATAGAGAAAACGATTGCGACGTTATTAAGATTAGATAGTGAAACAGGTAAGTAGATATTTTTCATTTAACCAAAGGAGATTTATAATCTTCTGGCACCTAAACAAGCTTCAGTTAATTGTCCTACAGTATACCAATTTAAAGGCATGTTAAACCTTGGGAAGTTATATGCTTTTCTAGGTTTCTTCCAGATAATATAAATAAAATACAATGTCTCATTCCAACCGGCCGTATGTACAGGCAAATATTCAACAAGTTTGTAGACAACATACTGCAAAATAACTGTCAGTGGAATAAGATGGAAAAATTGCTTTAAATTCCTATGTGTTTTTATTAACTTGTTTGGAAAAATTCAAAGACAGTACAGTCTTGATTGCATGCTGACTTGCAAAGACATCTCCTTGAGTTTTGTGCAACTTATTCTTCACTAAGCATGTGCAACATTAGACTCTATGAGACTTTGGGGAACTCTGTTCTTAGAAAAGAAGATAATTTTTTAAAAAGCTACCATATTTTACTGCACAGTCACCACACTTTTTGCCCTTGACCCCTCTTAAAAAAAAGTGGGGGTTGACTATTAAGTAATGAAAATCTGGAGTCCTACAGGACTTCCCCCGGAAGAAACTAAGGGAGACCTCTCAGACCTCTTTCACCAGTGCATGAGGGTGAGCGTGGCCTACAGGACCTCTTTCAGCAGCCAAAGAAAATTGTGCTCATTCACCCATGTGCACTAGTGAGGGTGCAACTATTATGCAAGGGATACAAATATACCACTATTGGAACCCCAAAAATTGGGCTGCAACTATTATGCAATGGAGATTGTTATGCGATAAAATAGGGTAGATGCAGTTTGGGAATTACTGTACAAATCTGCACATTGCTGATTCCTGTGCTGTTTTCTGTACATAAAGTGCTGCCTTAACCATGTGCAAATTTTATACAGAATAAACTCCCAATTATTGCATTTTATGAGCAGAAAACAGACTTTTCTGAACAGGAATTCTGTGTATTGAAACATTACTTTCCATACAGAAAATGAAGTTTTTTTCTCAAAACGACATGTATGAATTTGCACAGAATAAGGACCTCATCACATGGAGGTTCATAAGCCTGGGAGAGAGCAGAGGAATCTGTAGGGCAGTGGAGGAAACAATCAGGCAGCACCGCACATTGTCCCTTTACCATCCTACACCATTTCCAGTCTTTCCTCATCTTGGTCCTGAACTGTCCCCAGCTTAGTCTATAAGAACACAGATAGTCACCCATGTCCTCAGGGCTGCCTCTTAGCATATTGCTGAGATGCAGCATGCACAGAGCCAGGATAGAGCCCTATCAGAAGTTGCTTGCATCATGTGATGGACTTTGGTGGGCTCCATCCTAGCTGCATCTTGGCAGTGTCCTAGGACGGGCAAAAAGCCCCATGTGATGAGGTCCCAAGTCCTGAACTGTGAAGATTCTTGTCAGATGAGAATTTTTAAAAAGTCTTCCTCAGACAGACAAAGCATTTCAGTTCACCTCTCTGCTTAGAGAAGGGGGGGGGTGTCTTTTTTTCTTTTTGATGCAAATTAAGGGAAAGTACTTACATTAATTTGGGAATAAATCAACCCAGATTTTTGAGGGGTCAAGTTTTTTACTATTTTTAAAAGATGTAGACAGAAGTATACAAAGTATGGGAGGGTTTGGCCTTAGACTGTTCTTTCCTAGCAAAATCTAATGAAGTCAAAGATGCTCTCTTCAGGCAGAATTTTGCATATATTCTAAAACCCAAGCTTCTCATCAGGCATATGGCATCATGCACCTATTTGAGTTTGTCTGCCTGTGTTGATTTTGGCTTTGAATTCTGTGCATCTGATTGTTGCCCTTGTTTCTTCCTTCTACCGCCCTGTAATAAACTCTCTCATATATATGTGTGTGGACATGCTGCATTGTTTTAAAACTGAAATTCTCATTAAAACCTTCCCCACATGCAAGACTGCACAGTTGCTAAGCTACTCCTTGAGTTCTTAGGATATTTCATAAGGTTTTGTTAACTTCTGTGTCTTGGGGGCTTTGGGCAAGCAGATCCAAAAACAATTATTTCTTTTTTGCTGGGTTGAAGGGAGAGATCCTTCATAGAAAGGCTGTACAATTCCCCATGCAGTTGAAGAAAGCAAGAAGAAAGCAGAACTTAATCTGACTGATGACAATATATCATAATTTGTTTTCAAGGAGGGACCCATGTAGAGAAGGAGATCCTCCAGTTTGGAAACCTATTGCCACCCCCATGTGCAAGAAATACATGTTTTAAAACATAGCACTGAATGCTGATTCATTTTTGGACCCAATTTGAGATATTGTTTTAAGTACTTAGACCCAAAGTGCGGCAACCATATTTATCCTCTTGTAGTGTGTCTACTAGTCATTTCCAATTGATGGCTTATCATGCAGTCTTCTTGGAAACATTTGTTCAGAAAGCATCTGCCTTTGGGCCTTTCCACACAGCCCTATATCCCAGAATATCAAGGCAGAAAATCCCACATTATCTGACTGTGGACTCAGATAACCCATTTCAAAGCATAGAGCTGTGTGGAAGGACCCCCAAGCCTTCTTCCAAAGCCAAGGTATGTGTTTCCAATGTGTTTCCATGGGAGGGCAGGGAGTTCTATACTGTTCTCAAATCCTTATTCAACATCCAAGCCACTACATCACACTGACATATAATTGTACTCTTTCTTTTCCTTTGACCGTGCCTGATCAAGGGATGGATGCTGTGCTCATCCAGTTTGCATTCCATTATAATTCTAATATTTTTTGAGTCACAACTGCTATGTCCATTCAGTTAACTTCCTCCAAGTGTGAGAATTAGCCTGATTAACATCATTATAATTATAACATTATATTATTATAATGATTAGATTAACAGGAAGACATTGGTTATTATATGTTTTAAATGGTTTTGGTATGGGTTTTATAATGTTGTTTAAAATGTTTTAATTGTATATTGTGGATTGTTATGCCATCAAATTGCTGCCAATTTGTATGCCGCCTTGAGTCGCCTTCAGGCTTAAGAAAGGTGGGACAGAAATACTGTAAATAAATAAATAAATAAATAAATGACCCCATGGAGGCTTTGACTGAAAAACATGACTATGTTTATTTCATCATTACACTCTTTGTTACTGTCTCTTAGCACTAATACTATGCGCTCATTCTTTGTCTTCCTGTTGGTATCCATTGTTTTTACTACTCTGATGCCATGACTTTCACATTCATGCTGCTTACTACCATATAGTTCCAAAATGCTGACCAAGGCAACACCTTTGGTATCAATAAATATTACACCATTTTAATACTATGCCATTCTGAACATCAACACTAGGTTCTAGCACTAGCAAATTTACTCTTAGTAGTCTCTGTTGTTTTACATTTTCTCTTTAAATGTATTTGACTTTGCCCCTATGTCATTATCCACCTTTCAAGTATTAGTAAATGTTTCATATGGTCTTCCTCTATCAATTAGTCTTTGTCTCTCAAAGGTTAATCCTTAAATCATTTTCCATATGCCAAAAAACTTCTCTTTTGGTCAACTTATTCACAATATGTGTGTATGTATGTGTGAGTGTTCTACATACATAGTACAATAGTATATCAATTATTCCACTCTCTGCCTATGCATCCTGTTATTGGAATGCAATTCTGACAGTGGTTTCAGTGTGTTAACATAATCCATCTAAATATGGGAGGAGACCAGTCATTACAACTTTCTTCAAAGGATTTATTACACAACCATTATGAGTCATTATGAGTGTTTATCAGCAAAACTTTCAGATAGTTCTTTTTTTTTACTATCAACACTACTTTCACTACTGTAGTGCTAACATTGTTTTTGTCTATGCTTACAGTAGACATAGCATCCTTGTGCAACTCACTATCACTTTTACTAATGTCACAGCACTGTTTTGAGAAACTCTACAGAATTCAAGAGGAAATTTGTGGTATTCTCCTAAAATATGCAGTTGATGGGGATAGTAGCTCAGTCATCTGCAAAGGCCAATGGAATGTAAGGAGGTTAAGCAGCCTGATGAAGCAAAGTCGAAGATATATGCCACCCTTAATTCTCAGTTGCAAATCTCCAGTGTCTGTACTGTTGTCAGTCTTTCTTTTAGGAAAATGCTTTTGTGCTTGTGTCAGGTACCTTCCTCAAGATAAGAATGTCCAAGCTTTTACTTGAGGGAGATAGGCAACTTGGTTTGGCAGCAGATCAAAACGACATGACATGAAGCTGACTATGGTTCTACTGGTTGGCTCTACTGCTTTTGTCAGGCTCAGTTCCATTCCACAGCACTAAATCAGAAATCTACGGCTGAGGTTGAGGACATGCTTTTGAAAGGAAACAGTCTCTTAAGTGAAAAGACCAATGAAAATAAAACTGTAACCACAAACTCTCAAAGAGAATTTTCTGGTTTTGCAAATCCTGTCACTGCTTTTGACAGCTGTCAGGCTTTTCTTATATCACCATGCAATGAAGTATTTGGACCCCTCAAGACTCATCAACATGATTGGACAAGAAGAGTTTTGCTTCTAGTTCCTAGCTGAAGTGTTTATCAAGAAAAAGGTCTTCTAATAACTTGTTAGTTTTTTGGCTCATTCATTGCTGCCACTAAGAATGGAATATCTATCATTGGAAATTGGCAGGATGCTATTGAAACTCTTGCATGACAATTGCCACTGTCCACTTGATCTTTATTATAATTCAATGAGATAGTAGTGTTTGATACCCCCCCCCCCCCAATTGTTATTCCCTTCCTTCAAACACTCTCTTATAAGAGATAGCCATAGCCAAACTATTACAAATGCTTGCTAGAATATCTTTCTTTTTAAAATGGTAGGACTCCATAACAGTTTTATGTGGTCCCCAAAAGAGATGGAGGGCCTCATCCTCATTTGGAGCAATCCCAATTTCCAACCCCCCTCTTTTACTAAAAAGAAATTGAGTAGCCACCTTCTGAAATATGCCTATTTCCACATTGGCATACAAGATCATTGTGGTGATTTCTCTAATTTGCTCAGGACAATCAGTTATTTCAATTCTCTCTTTTACTGTTGGGGTTGATTAGACTGACCATGTTGCAATTGTGCCATCAGCATTCCATTAAGAAGAGTCTGTGTTGATTATATCAGTGAGTGAACCTTGGTAGTGTCTACACAACATTATTTAGATCTCCCCTTTGCCAACTCAGATATCGCAGATTCTAGTCAACTTGGGCTGTGTGTTCATCTTGATGCAAATTGTCTCTCAGCTGAATGGTCTCTCTATTCACCTCTGAGGTCATTGAGGTGACTCTGATCTTGGGACACTAGACATCTTCGAACTGTAATGAATCCTGAACTACATCCTTGTGGCGAGCAAGACAAAACTAGTTTCCAATTGTTCCTATTTTCTCACCAAAACTATTAGTCATTCTTTTTTCTGGACACTGTTCATTTGAGACAGACCTGCAGCCTTTTATCCAAAGGTCTTACCATGGAGGATTCAGCTTGTGAGATACATCATTGAAAGTTTTTCTCTTATAACATCAGCAGAGAAAACATTTGTATATTTTCCCCGGATCAGTGTTGTGGCTTAGACCTATATATGGTTCTTACTTTTCTGCCTTTTTTCCTCACACTTATGGATGATGATGTTAAATTGTACTCTGTTCTTATGCAATGATATTTTGGATCTCATCATCCCCTAAATGTCTTGGTAACTAACATTCAAAGGTAAGCAGGGATGGAATCATCCTGGTTCAAACTCTTTGCTGTTTATTTGCATATCTTAAAATGTGTTATTTTCATATTCTTTCTACCAATTTTCATGCCTCTTTCTTTAGGGTCTTATCCAATTTGCTATACATATTTCTAAATTAGTATTGCTGTTTTTGAGCTGAAATATTTTCAAACAATTCAAAGAAATACAAAACCTGAGTAATTTACACATCTCTGGCTAGTCTTGCTTATGTAAGCCTTTACCTTCACTGATTTTTGTGAACTATTATTGTTTGGTTTTAGAACTTCTGTTAAAATTTCTTATCATATCATTTCAAAGTGTCAGTAAATCATCTGTGACAATAAAAATGAACCTGTAATGGTCTTCATATGTGATGCTACCATGGCTTAGATATGCAACGTGGTTACATTTCCATTTTTCCCTGCATTGCAGATCAGGGTACTGAAGAATAGTAAGGATTTATATAGCACATCGATACTTTGGTAACTCTGCAAAGGTCTATGTCTACAGAAATGATATTATTCCCATTGCATTAAATGTTTTGAATGCACTTCTGAAAACAGTTTTACTTTATACATTGATTCACCTAACTGTGCAATTGAAATACAGTATAAGGAAGTCTTGTCTTGCAAACTTCACAAATATATATTCACTTACATTTATATATTTTATTTTATTAGGAGAAATACTTAGATATTTCAAACCAGCTTACTAAAGTCAATGAAAATATTGCAAAATATAAAAAGGAAATTGAAAAAGTCACTGTTTTAAACAAAGGAACAGAAAACCAGGTGAATATTGTACAGAAGTCTCTAGAATGTTTGAGGTAAGCATCTCAATTTCTGTAAACAGCTGGTGATATCTGTGTGGTGCCTCTCTGCTATCAGAAGGTTTCCAGCACCAGAGCAAGAAGAGAGATACATAATTTCTGGTCATTTTCAATAGCTTCCCTTGACTTTAAGTCTAGTCATTTTCTATCACTTCCTTTGACATTAAGTCTAGTCACGCCCGACTCTGGGTGTGGTGCTCATCTCCATTTCTAAGCTGAAGAGCTGGTGTTGTCCATAGACTCCTCCAAGGTCATGTGGAGCACCGTTACCTTCCTGCTGAAGCGGTACCTATTGATCTACTCACATTTGCATATTTTTGAATTGCTAGGTTGGCAGAAGCTGGGGCTAACAAAGGGCGCTCACCCTGCTCCCCAGTTTCAAACCACTGACCTTTTGGTGAGCAAGTTCAGCAGCTCAGTGGTTTAACCTGCTGCACCACCAGGGGACTCAAGAATACTCACCTGTAAAAGGAGTATTGCATCATCTGTAAATTATCCAGTATCTAGACATGGAGGTTAAGCACCCACAGGACTTCAGTATTTCTAGAATTCACTTTTAATTGACTAGGTCTTATCCAACAACACTGTTTGCTTATGACACCCAATCCCAAACTGATGACACTACAAGTAGCATTATATTTATGTTAAAAAAGTTATCAGAACAGGATCATGACCCTCACAGCACAGTTGCCAGGAGCAGAGATACATTCTCCCAGTCCCACTCTCTGGAACTGACCTTGCAGGCAAGAGCAAAGCCACTGTAAGATAATGGCTTCTATTCTGACTTCATGGAGCTAGTTCAGGAGTATACCATGGGTAATGATATTCAGATAAGTGGAGGCTGACTTATTATGCAAGGTCATTGAATTGTACTGATTGTATATATTGTCGATACAATTTTTGTTGACCACTTGGTCACTCTGCCAGCAAAATACCAGATTCAAAAGGTTTTGCTTTGATCCACTGTGGTTCTTTTTATGTTTTGGAAATTATTTTTCTAATACAGATTTTTTAAAGTCTTTTAAAGGAAGCATTGCTGATCATCCCTGTAAAAAAAACAACACCTTACTTTTATGGAGACAAGGGATTAAATCTAACGTTATGTTACAACATAAACTTAACTTCTCTGAAGCCATCTAGCCTGCCCACAATCTAGTTCCAGAGTTTTTTCCAGTTCTCCATAGTCATTTTTAGAGTTCATATGCTGGAAGTGGGAGGAGGAGGCTATAACAATACATAGTTTTATTTTATACAACTAGTCATAGTGCTTAGGTTCATGCATATGAAGAAGTATGATGTTATATACAGAAGGTATGACAAAATATTTGATTTAAATGTGCCGGATTAAACCAATTTCTCTGTAATATTTAATGGGTCACCTCAAAGACAGTTTTTTAAAAATGTACCACTTAAACCTAAGTGTACCACCTAAATAGTTTCGCAATCCAAAATATACACAATTTGTACAATATATACACAGTCTCTCCTTGAATTATAATGCTTTTAATGTTAGCTGCTTTGAGTCTCCTTATGGAGAGAAAAAGCAGGATATAAACATAGTAAACATCATCGTCATTATAGAACACCTATTTAGTCTAGTAACAATATATATTAAGTTTGCTTTCTTTTTTACATTCCTCTCCAATGACTCCCAAAGTAGTATATATACTTGGAATAATGAACATCATGGTTTCATTGCTGTTGGAAAGCAGGATTATGAAAGATCCTGAGATTTAGAAAGTAACTGCCCATTAGGGCAGACAATGTTGACTTGTGTAGGCCAAATGTCTAGCTCAGTTTAAAGCAGCTTCGTGTTTTTATTTGTGTTGTTTCTGTGAGCTATCTAATCTTTCTATAGCCCCTTCCACACAGCTGAGTAAAATCCCACATCATCTGCTTTGAACTGGAATATATGGCAATGTGGACTCAGATACCCCAGTTCAAAGCAGATATTGTAGGATTTTCTGCCTTGATAATATGGGATATAGGGCTGTGTGAAAGGGCCCTATGTAAGATTTATTGAGCCATTTGCTCTTCAACAGCCCCCCCCCCCTGCCAAACTCCAAATTGCTTTTTAAACTCCTTTGAATTTAAAAATCAGTTTGTGGTTCAGCAGGGGGAGCTGCTGAAGAAGAAATGGCCCGATAAACCTTATATGTGCACATTGTGCCTGGCACACATATGAAAACATCTGTAGATCACAGCTACTATGTGATTAGTCTGCCCAGCAATTCCTTATAATATTTTATACTGGTAATGATATATTATTTTTCTGTTACAGGAGAAAATACGATAAAATAAAGTCAAAGGAGCAGAATGCTCAGACATTAGTTGATTTTCTCCATGAACGGCTGAACTATGTTGAAAATAAAATAAAGACAGACAACAGAATTTTTGAAGGGAGGCTGTGGAAAAGACAGGAAGATCTGAAAACTAAGAAGGTTTGTGCCATTTTAACAATTCTCTGGTTTTTCTAAACATTTGTCTTGATAATTCAACGCATATTTAGTTATGCATTACTGTTCTATTGAATATTTCTGACAAAACCAGAATTTTCAGATGATGCCTAACTCCATTGTTTATGTCATATCCTCAACCTAGAGAGATGGCCTGCAACAAAAGTGAAGGCATATAAAATTGACATGTCATATTGGTGGTAACTGGAAATCTATGTCCTCACTGCAAAAGACCATGTGGATCCAGAGTCCTTTCACACAGCCACATAACCCAGAATATCAAGGCAGAAAATCCTACAATATCTGCTTTGAACTGGGTTATCTGAGTCATAGAATCATAGAATCAAAGAGTTGGAAGAGACCTCATGGGCCATCCAGTCCAACCCCCTGCCAAGAAGCCCTGGGGACTTGAACTCATTTAGAGCGGCCAGGTATCCTGGATGACTTGTTTCCCAGTAGGCATGAAGCTAGATGTTGGATTCACTAAAGAACAGAGTGGCAGAGACCAGATATTTATTCACAAGAGCCTAAGTAAAAGCATTCCGATTCCCATGAAAAATATCTTTCAAATTCTTTCTTTCCCTTATCCTGGCAGACTGCCTGACTCCCCTGTCCAGGTGGCGATCCTGACATATCTGCTCTCTACCATCAAAGATAGCCTCCTCCTCTGGGTTGCCCGTTAGCACATTCCTTTCACTTTCCCTGTCTACAGTCTCAAGCTGGTTCACATCAGGCTGTCTCAAAACAACTCTGCCTTGGGAACTAGACATCCCAGAATCCTTTCTTTCATTGTGTTTAACTGTATTTTCTAGGCCATCTTCTGTATCCTCAAACCCCTGAGAATGTACAGAGTCCTGTTCATTAAAATCAAACATGGAAATCTCTGCAGGGTCATTCTCTGAATGTAATCATGTTCTTGAGGTGCAGAAACAATCCCAGTCTGGACTCCTACAGTTTCCTGGGCTTGAAAAGCCTGAGTACATCACCATCCCTTCTCACTCTCCATGTCACAGTGGTCTCTACTCCATTGCCCTAGCTGAGAGGAGAGGGGATGGTGCTGAACCATGTTTAGGACATCTTCCCACCTCCACAGCAGCTGGGGGACTGTCTTTGTGACCCATACTAAGACCAATTTGGTATATATTCCACCAGATTGGCCCTGATTTATAGGTCAGATTAGATCTACCCTAAGAGCTCAAATTGAGATTTTTGCTCCTTCTTGTTGTCCCAGGATGCTGTTTTTGGAACTATAATACTGTTCTAATAATATTTCATGCCCATATGTCTGTTTTGGAAGGCATAAGTGTGAGGTTTGATTCTCTTATGTCTCAACAATTTTAAACTGCAACGTATATTCAGCAAATAGCTAACTCCACTCATAGCAGTAAATAATGCCTATTCTTGGCAGTATTTTTCCAGTGGCAGACTTCAAAATCAATTAGCAAGTGTACTTAGCAAGTTTGAAAATTTGTAATCAGTGGATGAACATGTGCAATCATAAACGTCTAGGCCTGAATCCTGAAAAAAATTGTGCTGTTTCATTGGGCCAGGTGCACAAAACCATTCAAAAGCACCAGCCTAGGTTTTGGCCCTAGATTGTTGATATTGCCTTCATAGAATAGAGTTCTGGTGTCGATGTGGTCATATTCTTTATTCATGGTGGGCTAACCTGAGATGTTGACTGATCATTTGTTCTGAGTAATACATAAGATTCTATGATGCAGAAAATGAGCACTTCATCAGATCTGCACAGATCCAGTGGAATGTTAGGGCTCTGCCTCTTGGCTTCTCATATCTTATTTTAGATTTACTGGCTCTTATTTTTTTAGTTTTTTATTTTCTATTTTCTATTTTTTATTATTTATTTATGTAAGCATATGCCTATTACACTCCTTGATTATTTGCTCTGCCTTGAAAAATCCAACTTTTAAAGGAATCAAATTCTTTTAAGTTTATAATATTTACAGTTATTATTCATAGCAAATCATAACTGGAAAAAGTTCTTCAAAAAAAAAGTTTCATTGATTTGAAGTGTGGCATGAGTTTGATCTCCTAATTTAAATGTGAATTCTACATTTTAAAAATATTTTAAAATATTAAAAAGTGAATTAATTTTATTAATTTTATAATTTATTTATTATCTCTGAGAGTGGGAACATATTTTTCTATTCTTAAATAGTATTTCCAGTTTAACTTGATTATTTTTCAGAAAGAAATTCTCATTTTCATAATGTTATTTTCTTGGTTGTATTTTTCTTTTTGGTTGATATTTTGATTTAATGCATTATGACATTTAACTATGTTATGCTTTTGTTTATGCAAGTTACCTTTAGTTTTTTATGTTTATTATTACAAGTAAATGTAATAATAAGCAAATAAATTGCTGATACCTCTCATTTTACCTAATGTGAACTGATGCATTGCACAGTAATAGTGGAATGTCTTAATATGAAACATTTTATAGTAGATCCCTCCTAGGTGTTTATATTTGATTCTGAAATTATAATATAACTTGCACTTAACTTGTATTATGTAGTTATGAATACAAAATAACTATAGCTGTAGTCTATCCACATTTACAACCTCTTCAGATCTGCCACCGGAGGTAGGGGGAAACCGTCACCACATGCTCCGCATCACCCAGGTTCCCCCCTACCTCATCTCATGTTGATCCAGTGCAACACGGGAAGCCATCCGTGTTGTCATAGCAGCAACATACATTGGTTCCTCAGCAGTTCTACATTGTGGGATGGGAGCCAGTGGGCTCCATCACAAAACTGCTGAGGAACTGGTGTTGGCGCTGAAAACAATCCCATCTGATGAGGTTGTTAGTCTTAACAGGAAAGCTGTAAAGCAGGGGTAGGGAACCTTTGGCCCTCCAGCTGTGGTGGACTTCAACTCCCACAATTCCTTGAGGCTCGGCATTCGCCGCAAAGGCTTACCTTGGCCCAATGCCGAGCCTCAAGGAATTGTGGGAGTTGAAGTCCACCACAGCTGGAGGGCCAAAGGTTCCCTACCCCTGCGTAAAGGATTGTGTCACTGGATTAAAACCTACATTTGCAAGACCCAAGAAGAATACCTGATAATTAGGATTTTTGTGGTCTATTCTTCATGGACTTTTATCCATAGGGTTGCCACAAATTGAAGTTAACTTGACACCAAATAACAATAATACACTCCAGGTTATATATTCCTATGTAACTGTTAAGTGCACACTTGAAATAATGGGAAATCCATACAATCCAAACTAGCACTTTGATTGTTCAGTCCATATAATTAGAAGAAAGCAGAGACACGCTTTCTTCTACCTTTCACATCAATGCTTCGAAGGTAAACATTTATAGAAATGAGCCTTTGCAAATTCACACTGCAAATAATTACTATTTTATCAAACATAAAGTACTGTTCATTATACACACACACACACACACTGCAATCATGTTTACCTGGAAGATCAACATCTGTCAATTATATATGCCCCCCCCCCCCAAAGTACCATACAGGTGAATAATATGCTTCAGATGTATATTAGGATCAGAGAAATTTTTGCTTCCATTAAATGAGAAAAAATAGTTTTTTCTCTTATGCCACAAATATTGTATTTTAATCAGTTCTTTATAGAACAGTTCATAAACTTTTTGATCCAATTTTTAACTAGTTAACACAGACATAAAGGGAAAAAATATACTTCAAAATAATTAATTTTACTGATAAAATGATTCTGCCAAAATTTATGAGCTCATGGTAAACTCTGGATTCTTTGGAGTGCTTCTTTATAAGAACAGAAGCTGCTAACACAGACATGATTCCTTCACCTCTTTATCTTGCACAAGATTTCTCAGAATATATTATTTTTGGTCACCTGGGCCCTAAGGTTGCTAAGAGCAGTCTTATCCATTACTCAGTTCAAAATCTGTATCCTCTTTAAGCATGTTCTAAGCATTGGATTATGAGAAAATTATTGCAGGGTGGTGTGTTGTAGCTTTATAACTAATATTTGTTTTTCTTGAAAAAGCTTAACACAGGTAGCCACACTGCCTTTAAGGGACAACTAACAGATACAGTCAAGGCACATATAGATGCCGCAGTACACCCCTTTTTACAATTGACAACATGATTTTCCACCTTTCAAGAACAATGGCATCATACTATAATCCACCTTCTAGAGTTTGCATTTGATTCACTTCCTATACCAGGACACCATGTGGGCCTAATTGAGTATCTGGGATGCTGGATTGGGACAATTTACAACTTCACAAGATGCACTTAGCTATTGAGAAATTAAAGCAATCCATTCACTCACTTCTAAATCAATATCTATTAGAATCCCTACTCCATTCCAAGTAACCAATGCATTTCCAGGAGGTAAAACTACTGTGAAGACATAACAGTAAGTTCCATAAATATGGTTTGCAGTTCTGGAGAACAATTTGTGCTTCCAGTAGTTAGATTAATTATAATTTCTTTTTCATTCATGGCATGCTGCTATCAGAGTGTTATTCACCTACTCAATCAGTATTTACTGTCAAAATTGCAGTAGTTTTATCACATGTCTTTCACAGCAGATAAAGACAAACATGCAGCGTTTATAATTCCCAGAATCCCTGTCATTATTTACTTTTTATTCTCATCCTGTTATTATCATCATGACACTCATATAAGCTAGAAGGGCAGACATATCGCATTCTTGAAAAAAAAAACAACAATAAAATCAGAGAGTTGGGTGGCTATTTGGATATTCCTGCTAGCACTCCCTACAGACTATAGTGTAAGTCACATTTGCTATAACACTACATCTACCCAGGAGCAAAGAGCACAATTCAGTCTGTCATCTGGCATGGGACTCCCCACATTCCAGTCTAGCACACTGTTGGAAGTTACTAGTTAAAGAAAATTTTATAACTAAACCATTTGTTACTTTTATTCTGCACATACGATATTAAGCTAGAGAGACCAGTGCAGTATTAAAGGATGTTCCTATCTTT